TAGAGTTCCCACGTGTGGATCTTCATTTGCTTCCACGTGTCCTTCACTATTGCAATCAATGTCCAATTGCTCTATTCCATGCACAATATGATCTTTAAAACATATGTCAGTATCATTAAATGAATTTTAACTTGACAACTTTCCTGATCATTTTTGTTGCTCTGGGTTTCCATCTTATGGACTTCATCAAATGTAACATGGATTGATTCTTCTACCACCATTGATCTTTTGTTTAATACCTTGAATGTTTTACTGGTAGATGAACATCCCAAAAATATTCCTTCATCTGCACGCTCATCAAAAGTCTTTAGATATGTTTTACCATTATTAAGAACAAAACATTTGATACCAAAAGTATGGAAATAGTTGAGTTTAGGTTTTTCCCTTTCCATAATTCGTACGGAGTCTTATTGTAAGACTTGTGTATCAAGCTTCGATTTTGCGTATAACATGCGGTGTTGATTGCTTCAGCCCAATATCTTTTAGGTAGCTCAGCTGACGTAATCATCACACGTGCGACTTCTTTCAGCGTTCTATTTCTTCTTTCGGCTACACCATTTTGTTGCGGTGTACGTGCAGCAGATAATTGATGTAGAATTCCTTGAGAATTGCAGTAGGCTTGGATTACTTGATTCACGAACTCAGTTCCACGATCAGTTCGGATTTTTGCAATCTTCAAGTCTTTCTCGTTTTGTAGTAGCTTAAGTAATTCTGGCAACTTTTGCTCCACTTCATTTTTCTTCTTGTGAAATATCGTCCATGTGTACCTGGAAAAATCATCAACAACAACTAGTGTATATTTCTTACCACTTAGACTTACTGGGTCTACTGGACCAAATAGATCCATGTGTAGTAGACTTAGCGGTCTTGTTGAAGATTCTTGAGCTTTGGATTTGAATGATGACTTGATTTTCTTTCCTCTTTGGCAAGCATCACATATTTGATCTTTCTTGTAAACGATGTCGGGTAGACCTTCAACGAGTTTATTTCTTGCTAGCATGTTGATGGTCTTTAAGTTTAAATGATTTAACTTTTTGTGTCATTCCCAACTTGTTGCGTGTGAGTTGTTTGCTAGTAGACATACTGATTCTTTTGTCGTGTTCCAATCAACCACATACATATTTTTCTTCCTTATTCCTTCGAGCACAACTTCTCCCGAGGAATTATTCTTCACTTGACATTTGTTTTTGAAGAATTCTACTAGATATCCTTTGTCACAAAATTGACTTATACTTAACAAGTTGAATTTTAGACCTTCAACAAAGGATACATCTTCAATTGTTAAACCATTGCGAGATATTGTACCATTTCCTTTGGTTATGCCGTATCGTTCATTTCCACCGAATACGACTTTTGGTCCTTCGATATTTTTAAAGTCCACAAGACTAGATTTATTTCCAGTCATCTGTCTAGAACATCCACTATCGAAGTACCAAATCTCCTGCAAATAAATTACACATTTTTAGGTACCCAACATGATTTGGGTCCTTGGGTGTTAGTCATCTTTGGTACCCAAATCCACCTTGTACTCACTGATCTAAGTTTAGGTGATTGGTAACCATTAAACATATTATAATCATAGCTTATTTTTGAAAACATTTTTGGTGCCGGTTTTTGAAAATTGACTCGATTTTTTGGCACTTGGGAAGTAGATTGTTTGAGCCTATGATAGGCATTAAATCTGGACTTAGTCCATGGTTTAATATAATCAAACCAATCTTGTTCAGAGGGATAAAATTTTCCTGCCCCAATTCTCAGATTTCTTCCCATTTTCCTATGAGGGCTTTGTGCACTAGACTCATTGGTGTATTTCCATTTAGGAACAAACTTTTGCCTTTTTATATACTTCTTAGGCGAAATATTGTTTCTTTGAGGCTTCGACCTTGCATCATTAAATTTGGCATTGGTTTGGTAACCAATTCCTTGTCTCACTGTGCTATCTTGACCTTTTACAAATTTTACCACTTGGACTTTATTGTTCAAAGTAGTAGTAAAATTGGTCAATTTCTTAGAGGCTTGAGAACACGAAGGATCATAGCCAAGTCCGGCTTTATCACTTGAGGGTTTTTGCATATTTACCATTTTGTCCATTATTTTGGATGAATGTGTAAATGTTGCTATAACCTCTCTAAGGTTGTGTTCTCTCACTTCCCTTGATTTACACTCTTCTTGAAGACAAATAATTTTATCCTTTAAGTCTTTCACTTCAAGTAGAGCATTTTGCAATTTTTCATTTAATTCATCTTTTTCAAGAATTAAAAAATTATTGCGCTCTTTGAGTTGAGAGTGAGTGTCCATAACGGTTTGACATTCTTTCATTAAGTGAAAGAAGGACTCTCTAGAAAATGAAGAATTTACAGAATCATAAGAATTAGATGTTACCTCATTTTCTTCATTTTCATTTGCCATAAGACACATGTCCTCATAGGATGAGTCGTTGGAGATACTCATGTAAAACATTACATTGTCATCTTTTGAGGTGTCACTTTCATCACTTGAAGACTCCTCTGACTCACTTGTTTCAAGTGGGTCACTAATGAGTGCTTTTCTTCTCTCCTTTGTGAACCTTTTATCTTTGGTCTTGAATTCTTCCTGTTGAGAGTTAGAAATATTTGTGTAGTGACTTTTACTTACCTTGGGGTGTGGACAACTTGCTGCAAAGTGTCTAGGCTTTCTACAATTGTAACACAAATTTGAATCTTCTTCAATTATTTCTTTCTTCGAATTCTTTGTTGCATTCCATGGTTTTCCTTGTGGATTTTTCTTGTAGTTGCTCCTCTTAATGAATTTCCTAAATTTCTTGACAAAGAGAACAAATTGATCATTAGGCAATAATTCATTATTTTGTACTGACCTTGAAGTCGATGGTTGCTCGGCTATGAGTGCGTTGTTCTTTTCATGATCTTCCTCGATCCTTGATTTCATCTCAAACTCATAAGCTTTTAGATCACTAAAAAGCTTATCGATTGATAGAGTTTTTAGATCTCTATGATCTCTCATTGCCGTGACCTTCATGTCCCATGTAGATGGTAGACCATGTAGGATTTTGAGTGAGATTTCCTTTTGATTAATTTCTTTTCCAAGATCATTAATCTCTCCTAAGATTTTAGCAAATCTTGTTTCCATATCGGTAATATTCTCGCCGTTTAGCATTTTGAAATCCTCGAATTTCTTTAATGCTATGGTGAGCTTATTATCCTTTTCTTGCTTGTTTCCTTCACCAATTTGAATAAGCGTTTCCCAAACTTCTTTAGCAGATTGGCATTTTCGAACTTTTGGGAATATCGTGTCGTCGATAGATTTAAACAAAATATCCTTGACAATATTGTCCAAGTTATTTCTCGTTCTATCTTCACGAGACCATTCCACCTTCGGTTTTGGAATGTATTGTTGAGTTTCGCTTGTTTGTACGGATGAAGTGTTGACTTACAAAATTTCAATAGGACCACTGGTGATTACTTCCCACATTTCGATCATGTAATGCGGATAAGTGTACCTGCATGCGAATTTTCCAATCATCAAATTTTTCTAAGGAAAATAATAAATTTTGGGCAAGAGCCATATCTCTTTTCATCATTTTGATTTTTCGAGATCTGTCTAGCAATCAAAATTGACTCAAATAGACAACCGCTTTGATACCAATTGTTGGTCCCGATAGGGTGGTAGAAAGTCTGGAGGGGGGTGAATAGACTTTTTAAGCTTTTTCAAAATTAAATAACTCTTTGGTAACTTTAACTCTAAGTAACAAGTAAATAGAGAAGTAATTAAATTGAAATGCACAGCAGAATAAATAAGTGTAAAGAGTTATGCCCAATCAATAATTTGAATCGCATGCATGTGTAGGATAAGCTCAGATGAGGTGTAAGGATCACATGAATATCTTGAATATTTAAAGGAGATGGTGCACTCAATATTTAATAATAATATTCAAGACTATAAATAAGATTTCGTGTCACATCAATCGTATGATAAATGTCACATGCAACACGTCAAACTTGCTTAGAATAATTCAAATGTTAAGCATAGAAAGTTTGAGTTACATGCATATGTGAAAACACACTAAACCCGAAAGATTAAGATAGACAGTGAATAGTAAACGGGTTAGTCGGATGATAAATAAATAAAGCGAATTATGTAAGTACGGTATGTAAATGAGAGAGGCAATTTATAGTGGTTCGGAAGTGGCGTAATCTTCCTAGTCCACTTTACTCCATTCACTTCTAGGAGTAATTCACTATTTTCCACACATAGTTACAATAGTGAATAAGCGCTACACAAGCACTTCTTCCGGATGTCCTGCACACAGCTACACCCAACTCCGAGTGTGTCGCACACAACTACACTCAACTACGAGTATTTCGCACACAGTTATACTCAACGCCAACTAAGTGTCTTGCGCACAGCTATACTTAGCAACCACGAGTGTTTTGCACACAGCTACACTCACTAGAGTATTTTGCACATAGCTATACTCTTTTAACAATTACAAATACAAAGGTAATTGTATCTCTCTCCAACTAGTTTTGAGACTATTCAGACTAAGTCTCTTTCTAGATATTTCAAAGAATATTTGAGCACTTGTATTTCTAGAAATCGCACTTGTTCATCCGTGTGTTCTCTTGTGTCTCCCTTGTATTCTTCAAGTCTTCATGCCTTTTTATAGGCAATCAAATATATCCGTTGGAGTGGAATTATTTGATATTTGAATTTTGAATCTTGTAGCCTGATGTTGTTGACAATGGAAGTGTAACACCCCCGAAAACACGTGCTATAAAAAGCCTTAACACATGCAGATCATACAACAACACACTAGCACAGCGGAAGGTAAAACGATAACTGAATAAAAGGAATCCAAACGGGGTGTTATGCCACGTCTACCAACCACGGTAAACGCTACGGCGGGTCAAATCTGTAATGTGTATACATCTATCCCGAAGACATCAGTCTCAAACTACATTGGCGCACAGGCCACAAAACAAGGATAAAGGAACTAAGCTACCGGCCACTAGACATCGCGCTCATCTAGACATCACCTGTAAGAACATAAAGATAAACATGGGACGACGCCCAGTCAGCGAATAATGCTGGTAACCCACCAATACATGTGAAATATCATACATAGATAGATATAAGTTGTAAAGCCATTTTCGAAACGGAATACATAAGTATATAAGTCAAAAGCCAAGATCAACAATCAACACAAGACTCATCACTCACAAGGATAACACGGGAACACATCCCAAACCACAAAGGTTAACCACAACGCAAAGGAATAAGACTCACCCAACGGCAACACTTGCCAAAGCAACACATGCCTCCGTGACTACACACATCACGAGAGAAGAACACACAACGCCGGCTATACAAGTCCTCGCAACATCACCCATCACGAGTTGTTATGCCTTCCTTATGCCCTGTTCCAACCTTATGGCTACCGCCAACCTTGTATCTTCATTCCAACCATTACCTCCAGGACCCCTGTACAGCCAAGTCCAACCTTATTCCCCCGGGACTGTCGTCCACCACCAACGACCACCAACGAGACCACCAATTCACGGCAACACATGCCCGGATAACATGTTATCCCCCAAAAACGTGAACCTTACACAAAGGCCACAACTCCATAATCACGTCACGGCCACCACGAGGACCGCTGCAATACCTTGGTGACTAGTGTCCCATACCACTAATCGTGCAATCCAGGTAAAGCCACACACGCACCACAACTCAACAAGAGTCAAACAACGGATCACAACGAAGGTATGAAACATACTCAATCAAGGAACGGGTCACAGCCCAACAACATCAACGATGAATAACACAAGTTATCATCAACCAAACGGAAGGTACAAACAACACACACACGCTAGCATTTAGATACCAAACTAGCATGCTTATCAACGGGGAAACTCAAGATAGTTCCGAGGAACACACAAGATACCTCTTGGTCCAACGAAACACAATGTTGAACACTTAGCACGATTCAAGACACCAAAGTCCTACATGGATACCTACCATAGAGTTCTAGACATACGAAACATCAAGAAGACATTCAAATAGTTCCACAAAAGAACAACGGGAAGTCAAAAGACCAAATACCGATTCAACGAATCACGGGGAACAAATCCTGATCCAACACCATTGTGTTCCCCGCGGGTGGACCTACGGGTAGGCTCCCACCCGTGGTTCCGCCCGCGGGTACACTACCCACGAGGCTTATGTTCTCCGCGGGTGGGCGGTGGGTGGAGCTCGACCCGTCGTTCCGCCCGCGGGTACATCTACCTGTGCAAAATAATCCCTTCAGGAATTTTCTTCTCCAAACACAAATTCAAGTCCAAAACATGCCAAATCTCACCCAACACAACAAAATGACTTAAATCATGGAAAATGCCAAGCAATGGCACAAAGGAACCCTAAACACAAGCTCTAGATATGCAATATCACAAGACAAATGCATAAACTTTCACATTTCATAGCAAAACACAAGTAGAATCCAATAAATCACATATAGGTAAGCAAAATAGGTTTTGTAGAGCATGGGTTACCTCATTTGCTTATCCAACCAAAACTAACGGCAACATTGGCTCAACTCATAAAACCATGCTACCGGGAACCTGAGAATTAAACCGGATCTCAACTATTAACACAAGTACTAATTAAAACTAATTAGGCTTATAAGGGGATTTGAACTTTAGTTCAACCCTAAATTACCCACAAACTCAACCATCTAAGCTAGACATCCTATTGTTAAATTAATCACAACATTATTTTTCTAATAACTTGTAACCAAGCTCACGGGATAGGACTAATAAATAAAACTAACAACTTAATTAATTAGTTAAGCTAGGGATCGAACTCAAGCTCTCAAGCTAACAGCAAACATAACCACCCCTTTAACCACTAAGCTAAAGGTTCACTTAAAGATTTCTACGCAACATTATTTAACTAAACATTAAAACTAAACACCCTTATTACCAACAAGCTAAACCATCACTTAATGACTTCTATGAAACATAAACTAATTAACACCTAAACTAATCAACAACAACAACAAGAACCAGAAGCTCACCAAGCTTCTTCTTCGTCTTCTTCATGCCACCACCCCGCGGGTGGAACACGGGTGCTACCTCCACCCTACTTCTGCCCGCGGGTACACCGGATCCACCACGTCGCCGGAGCTCGTTCCTAAGCTACCTCCGAGCACCGCCGTCGGTAAGGAGGGGAGAAACGCTGCCGTGAAACTCCGCCGTCGCCACGCACCACCACTGCTACGAGCCTCTAACCACTGCCGCTGTTTTGCTTCTCCACCACTTACTGCTTTGCTTCACCCGGAGAACAAGGAATGCCGGAGAGAAAACCCAGATGGTTCGCCGGAGATCACCACCCGTCGAAACCACCACCACTCGCGTCATGGAGCTGCTACTGAGCAGGGCCCCGGTCCTATAGTTTTGTAGGCCCAGGGCAAGTGAAAAAAAAAAGGGCCCCCAATATTTAAAAGTTAACATAAACTTTTATAACTAAATTTTAAATATTATATACATGCAAAAAAATACCATTGTCAACTAAATTGAATAAATTTAAAAATTTTCAACATTTTACAAATAGGCAGTACGCAGTACGCAGTAGTTCCTTGAGCTTCTTAAATCAAAATCAGGGTTGGTGAGAAAGCAGTACTTTCTCCTCCTGCAACAACTTAATTTTGTCTATATTAGGCAAAGTGGTAAAGATATTGTATAATATGTCAATTACAAGTCTTATACTTAAGTAATTCTAATTCTATTAGGTAACTACAACTTAAATTTGTCTATATTAGGCAAAGTGGTAAAGATATTGTATAATATGTCAATTACAAGTCTTATACTTAAGTAATTCTAATTCTATTAGGTAACTACTAAACGCATTTGAAATTTTTTGTTACAGTAATTCTAATTCTAATTACAATAAACAGTAAAACAAAATACCAAGAATTGAATTAGGATTTTTGCAGATTGCAATAAATAATAAACAAATCCTAATTGAAATAAAAAAATCCTAATTGACTGTAGTAAACAATAAACAAATCTAATTACATTAAACACAAACAATAAACAAATCCTAATTGAAATAAAAAAAATAAAATCCTAATTGATTATAGTAAACAATAAACAAAATCCTAATTCTAATTGCAGTAAAAAATAAACAACTCCTAATTGAAATAAAAAAATCTTAATTGATCGCAGTAAACAATAAACTAATTACAATAAACAAAATATCAACAATCCTAAATCCTAATTCTAATTACAGTAAACAATAAACAAATCCTAAATTTTCAATTCATTGCATACTAAGAACTTAGGGCAGTAAAACTTGAAATCAAAAAATACCTTCGTAATTGGTAATACCAGATAGGGCCGGTGAGGCGGTGAGTGAAATTGATTCGCCGGTGAGTGTACTTGGATTTGCAGATAGATTGCAGTTTCTAAGTGGGTGGATTTGCAGTTAGATTGCAGTTTCTAAGTGGATTTGCAGATAGATTGCAGTTTCTAAGTGGATTTGCAGATAGATTGCAGTTTCTAAGTGGATTTGCAGATAGATTGCAGTTTCTAAGTGGATTTGCAGATAGATTACAGTGGATTCTAAATTCTAACTTCCGAGCTTTTATTTAGGGCTGGGCAAATCGGTTCGGGTGACCCGAACTGAACGGTTCGGTTTGGTTTCTACCCGAAAGACCGATCGGTCCTAGTTTAGGTGGAACCGATAACCCGATCGGTTTTCTGTTTTTTTTTTTTTTTTTTTAATATATTAATAGATTAATAGATATATATTATATTAAATGTTTAAGGTGAGGTTTGAACCCTTAATCATTTAATTATAAACTAAGAGCTTTACCCACTAAGCTATACCCACATTCATACCTATATTCACATTTGTATGCTAATCATTAAATATTGCACACTTCAAATATAATGAATAAAATTATCCGTACTACATTCTTGTTAGACTAAAATACCATTATACCGTTATTACACCGTTGCTATTTAATTCTAAAGTTTCATAATTGTATCATTATTATCACACACACACACACACACACACACACACACACACACACACACACACACACATATATATATATATATATATATATATATATATATATATATATATATATATATATATATAAATAATTAACTATGATACCTGTTTCCTATTCTTTAATTATCATTTTATTAAAATTATTATATAATTACTTTAATTGTTGATTATATTTTAATTAAATTTTTATGTATATAAATATTATAACAATTAATAATTTTAACTCCTCAAGTCCTCAAATCCCAACTCCAAGTTGTAAGTCCAAACATTTGGTGTTTTAGTAATTTTTATTTTTCAAATATTAACTATAGATGAATGATTTTTCATTTTGTCATCAACAAAACACTTCAAGTGGCACTTCAAGTGAGTCAACTGAACAACCAGTCAGGCAAAAAAAGAAACGTTCAAATAGTAAACTTTCACCTAAACCGAACCGAATACCGAACCGAAACCGAAACCGAACCGAACCAAACTTTTCAAACCGAAACCGAAACCGAACTCTATTTTAAACCGAATGGTTTAATTTTTTTAAAACCGAAAAACCGAAACCGAAACCGAAACCGAAAAAAACCGAACCGAAACCCGAAGTGCCCAGCCCTTCTTTTATTGATGGATTTGATGTCTCCATTTTTACCATTGAGACTTGAGAAGGCCTGGCGACGCTTGGGGTGGCCGGTGGGTGCGAGAGAGTTTGCGTCTCCACTCCAGTCTCCTCATATTCTTCGACTGACTCATAAAGTCGAGACGCGGCAACGGTAAAACAATAATTTATATATATATATATATATATATATATATATATATATATATATATATATATATATATATATATATATTATATACTGTATAGCTATGGCCTATGGGCCCTGGGCAAGGGCCCAGACTGCACTTGCCCAGGGTCGGGCCTGCTACTGAGGATCCTTGTTCATGTTGCTGCTCTTGCTTCGTCTAACCATAGAGGAAAGGAAGGGGGGTGGGTTGAGTCGCCGGTGGTCTTGTAAAGGAGCGAGGAGGTCACTCAACACCATTGCCGTGGCTGCCCAACTGCTTCTCTTTTCAGTTGACGTCAGGGCGAGAAGAAGAACTGGAAGGATGGTCTCGCCGCTGAGGTTCGAAGGAGGTAAGGGAGACAAGGATACAATACACACATACACACTATAGGTAGTGTTAATAACACTAGGTTGGGCTTGGGTTGGGTTAGGATTCAAGACCACAATTTGGGTTAGGTCACTCTTTTGGGTCAAGGATCATACAAAAATATAAATATATTTTGCGCTCATAAAATGGTAACACTTATATGTTTATATAAACATTTGGGCTCCAAATATAATCATTAGGCTTTAGGAATTAAAACTCATTTTGGGTCTAGGCTTATTTTGTACAAAGATATCGGTTCACCATAATAGGTAGACCCGAGCACGTTTAAAATAAATAGCTATATAAATATTTTTATTAAAAATATTTATTATCGGGACCATAATTTATTTTAGGAAAATATCGGGTGTCACATCCTCACCCCCTTAAAAGAAGCTTCGTCCCCGACGCTAAAAATCATTTTCGGGGTAAGAATGTCACAAAAATACGATAATTTATATAGGGAGAATATTTTTCGGGAATATATACACATATATATACACTAGGTTTTGGGAAAAGATTTGGTTCGAAAGGTTGGAAAAGATGAAAGGTTTAGATATTAAACTCAGGGACACGATGATTGGTAAGAAAAGGGGATGAAAGCTTAGATTTCAAACTTGAGACAACGTCAAATAGGGTTAGGATCAAAGTCATAAAAGTTGCAACTTAGGAAATAAGGTTGCTACCTTGCACGAAATCGTTTGAAATGAAGGGTCAAGAACAAGGTTTGAAAGAATTGGAAGGATTTCCTAACGAAGAGTACTAGATTTAGGCTCCAAGATAACGTAGATTAAAAAGGAATTTGAGATTTTCAAGGTTACAACTTAGGAAAACGAGGTTGTCACCTTGTACAGAATCAAAACAAGAAGGAAAACAAGAACGACGCTCGAAAAGATAGGACGGATCTCACGAGAAGGGTAGAAGATTTGACGAGGGAAAGGGAGGAAAGCGGCTTAAAGAGGGTTAAGGATTCTCGACTTCAGGCTACTTCTTCGACTTGATGCTTCGATCACTACAAACTTGACGAACTGAAGGGTCCTTAACTTGATTCGGACGCGCTCTAACGTTAAGATCTATATCGGACCCTCTTCATAAGCTGAGATCACAAACATCTTCACCCCAAACCCTTCTTTAAACACTGGTTGCTTCTTTAAATTTGTTACAGCCGAGCGAACTCACACGGACCAAGCAATTGTAAGATGTCTTACTTCCCTTATCGGTCTTCATCGTTGCGTCGGTAACGAAGCTCTTAACACACTTCCTTAACCTTCTTAGAGATTCGGCTTGTTGTCCGTTCTAGCTAACACACGATCGGTCGAAACACTGATTACCACTTCCCTCTTTCTTTTAGTGTACCCGGTTGTCTGTTCTTGTCATCCCAAGACTTCGGTGATTTACAAACCAAACTTCCTTTCTTATTGTACCTGGAGATCTAAGCACCCGCGTATTCCTTGTACCTTCCTTAGCATCGTGAACTTTGGCACTCCAAATCTCACAGAACCTTGTAAGGAGTCATTTGAAAGCTCGATAACAAACAACGCTGAAAGGGAAACTCGATCCATCATTAGAGCACAATCCACGACCTTCGTGAATCCATAACGCAAGTTTCCAACTTGCCTTCTTGATCTGTATGCTTCTTTCCCATTAACCATTTAAAACTGGTTAGATTGTAGAGCTCAACTGTAACCTTAAGTCAAACGCAAACGGTAGAACTTTTCGTAAACTGAAGTCTTTACCAAGCCAACATCTTGAGATAACCCAGGATTCCTTACTCAAAGATTTGCTCATGTCTTTACTAGAAGCCCAGTAGATCGAGTCTTGTACACTGTTGATAACCTTGCAATCTTCATAAGGTAGTCGGTTACAACCACTTGGTCTTTTCTTGACTTGATTAACGGTAGGTCTTCCCTGAAAACTTTGTTGCCGCACGAGCATGTCCTACTTATGAAGGTCCACAGGAGAACTGGTCCTTAAGTTCATTCCTATTTGTCTTTCCTTCTACTGTTCAAACTTCCCAAATAAGATTGGCTACTTCTCGATCCTTCCTGGTTTTAGGTAGATCTCTTACCAGGACTCTTCGACACCGCGTCTCACTTGCAACTTAAAAACATTCGGTGATCAGATCCGTTTTTGCTTCGCTCTTGTCGGTTTTATTCTTCGGATGGCCCCAACAATTGTTTGCAACTCAGACACTTCTTCTTTCCTTCATGTTAGCAAACCTCCTTACCAAGAGCCTTCATGTTAACCTTAACTATC